AAAAGTGATTAGTATGGGATGACTATAAAGTAGTATATATTCATAATTTATTTTAACTATTGACAATGCACATATCTTATATTTATTATTAGATCTGAAATATTTAGTGATAAACATGGGTCTAATCAAATTTTCAATCAATTTATTCAAACCAAGTATTATATCCCTCCGCATGTCATTTGATTTAGCTTAAAAAAATTATCCAACTTAAAACTTAACTCAATATTTAGATAAAACCTATATATATTTGGATCACTTCACAAAAATGTCTATCAAGTAAAACAGTAGTCCTGAAGACATAAAGAATGCTTTTCATACTCTGTCAGACCTACATGAAGAAAACCATTTTTCTTCAGTGGTGTAACATTTCTTCCCACTTAGGCGAGACAGGATAAAGCTTGGATATAGAGCTATGATATGCAATAATTCTATTTATATTCAAATAAGGAAAACTTGTAACTAGAGAGAAAATCTTCTCCAATTTTTTTTATAAATTAATTGATCATAAATTAAATAAACGCGAACTCAAATTTTCCAAATTTAAAATCAGGGTATTGACTTGTGACTCAACTTTTTTTAAACAAAGCTCTGCAACGGAGTCGTCGAGCAGTCGTAACGACTTTTGGGGCTGAGACCCACGAGGTTTTAGAAAATATTTGTGAAAAGATTGGAGTCGACATCAATAATTTTTAAGGTGAGATTTGAACACCTAAAATATGATAATTTTAATAAAATATTTTATTTTATAAAAAATACCAAAATTTTGGTATGCGAACCAATAAAACGGGCTTGAGAGTCAGTTACATGTGGTGAAGGATTAGCACCCACACAATGCCAAAAATTGATATATGGTCAATTACCCTATGTTTTAAAATCAGATATTTTGAGCTCGAAGTTTTATTTTAATTTAAATCCATTATGTATGCAAATTAAAAAAGGGTATCAATTTATTAGGATCAATTACAAATACCCTCAAACACAAGAAGAAGCTTCATTATTAATCCCAATAAATAAACATTTTCTTAATAATTTTAAAATCATGCTGCGTAACTTTGAAAAGAATGTTAATTTACTTCAGGAATCAATAGTGGTCACCCCGACATAATGCGAAAAATATACTATTAACCCCTAATAAATGAACATTGCTTTGTTTTGAAATCAAATTATGCAATCAAACAATCAATTATTAAACTTAATTATGCTAGGTGAGTTAATTAAGGAAACCCTCTAACAAAGTGTCAAATTATGAAATTTATAGAACTTAAAAGATTAAACCTAAAATGTAGGATCTAATATTAACCTTATCAATTTTAGCAATTTATTGGATCGAATAATTAAAATGGAACAACGGGCATAAATGAGGACCAAATAAAAAATCCACCTAAATTAAAGGACTAAAGTGAAATTAAACTAAAATTCAGGATCTAATTATTAATGCTAATCAATTTTAACAAATTATCGGATCTTATAATTAATATGGAACTTCGAGCATAAATGTGAGGACCAAATAAAATATTTACCTGAATTAAAGGACTAAAGTGAAATTAAACTAAAATGGAGTCTCTAATTATTTATCCTAACCAATTTTATCAATTTATTGGATCGAATAATTAATATGAAACCTTGTGTATAAATGCAAGGACCAAATAAAAAATTCATCTAAATTAAAAAGATTAGGGACTAAGTTAAAATGAAACTAAATTTAAGGATTTAGCCTGAAACCTATGTAATCAAAATAGGACTAAAATAAAAGAAATTCAAAATTGGACTAAATTAGAACACTAAAAGGACTAAATTGAAGCAATTCAAAATAAAAGGCTGAAATTGAAACACATCAAATAAAAGGACTTAAATGAAAGAAATAAAAAATACAACTAAAATTGTAAAAATACTAAAAAATAAATACTAGAATTTAAGGGACTAAAATGAAAATGCTGGAAATTAAAGGATAAAATTAAAAGTAATATAAATTAATGGACTAAAATTTAAAATAGCATACATGTAAATTGTAATACCCTAGACTTGTACGACACAGAGTTGACCGGTTAGAATGTCACATGGAACCATCGGAGTGGCTGACAAAATTTTTTATTTTAATTTCTTTATAAAAAACGATCATTTGTAAATACTCATGCTAAGATCAATCAACCACAAATTTACAAATATGCATGCCCTCTAAGATGAACTTGAGACGTATTCTGCACTAGTTTGGTCTGGATCATTTATGGAAAAAAGGTCCTTTGACTGCTTCTCGACCTAACCTACGTAAGGAAACAAATTCCAAACGATGAGCTAACTAGCCCAATGCCACACTAACAACTAAGCCATACTAAAAGTGTTCATGTCACGCATAAGCTAACTGATAATACTGAAATAGTGACTATACTCATATACTGCACTCTCTACTCTATGATAAACATCATGGTGCAGCTAAGGATTCTGCATCTCGGAGCTCACACACCCCTCTAGTTTACCAACGATGAGGCCTGGGATCTCTACACGGACACAACACCCTCGACTAACCCACCCCTCACGAGTGTCGGGTCTCGACCCTAGTTAGTCGATTTAAAGTGCCTCGTACACTACCTAAGGATATCATGACTGATTCTATACTTCGACACCATTATCTTACTAAAGGAGCTCGGGTGTCCTGATCGTTTCCCGAGCATCAATCAAGGCTAGTTTTATGTCGCCCTAATTTTTCTTGTTTCTAATTGTATTTAGCAATATTTCATTCTCGCTTATTGTTTTATTAAAAAGTATTCAAATTAGAAGCATATTATAAGTCCACAGCCATATGTGTACCTTTTTGGCCTATTTGGCCAAAACCAGTCAAAGGTTTCAAAACCTACTGTAGAGGTTTAGAAACCTTAACATAATTTTTTAAGGTCTAGGCAAGGGGTTTCGAAATCTACTATAGAGGTTTCAAAGCCTTTGCCTGAAATTACATTATGGACAAAAGGTTTCGAAACCAACCATAGGCGGTTTTGAAACCTCTTCTACAACTTCAAATTTTTACATGTTTAAACACTTTCAAACCCTTACAAAATCATTTCAATATTTTCAATTGACCAACATAAGTTTATACATGATAAAATGGATTATAAAGGAGGTTTAAATAAGTTAAATAACACCATAAGCTAGAGTCTACCATGGATGATCATACATGCTTCAATCTCAACTTTCTAGTTATCATGCATTTTCTAGTGACCCACAAATTGTATGAGATAGTTGTAAATGTGTTACCTTACTTCTTTGATGGCTAGAACTCTCCCAACTCACCCAATGTTCAACTTTTCTTTGCCACTTTCTCTTGAGTTTTCTCCCATCTCTTTCACTAAACAAAAGTGAGCAAATGGATTACTAATCCATCTAGGGGTTGGATAATCTAAATAAACTCTCTATAACTCAAATCCACCCAAATAATAAGCTAAAAACTATATATTCTCATAAACCTCTCAATACCCATTTTTGAAAACTAATTCTAAAACTTGCAATGTAGAGCTTAATTTGAAGCTTGAAGGGTGGGGAGAAATAATCTTACCTTGGTTTAAAGTAAACTAGCTTGAATCCTTAAATTTTCACTTGGAAGAGAAAAAAGAAAAGAGAAATGATGAAGAAGAAGAGGATGAGTGTTTGGTGAGAAAATGGGGAAGACAGTTCACGTAAATCATATAAAATGAAGGGTTTTTAGCTTTCTATTTGAACTATGTGTAAACTACACTTTTAGTCCCTTTACTTTCTATTTCGTAAAATTCTTAGCACTAAACATTAAAACTCTTGAGCCCAACCAAGCCCATTAACACTAAACTTGGTCCAACAATTGTATAAGGTCTTTTGGGGTCAAATTTTGGGTTTCGGGTTGAGCCAAATTACTAACTCGGAATTCGGGACGTTACATAAATTACATAAATTTAAAGGTTAAGGAGTTCGTTTTAATAATTTTACCTGGACCATAATAACGCGGGTCGTAACTCGAAATAGGTGATGACTATAGTGTGTTGTTTTTTGAGTTTACCAACTATTAAAAATTATGAAATGATTACTTAACTATAAGACATTGCTTTATTTAGTCCCCCGAATAATAAAAGTTATACAATGGTCACTCGATTATTCATATGTTCCAAACTCGTCATTTTTCATTAAAAATGATTGCAATTTGAGCTGGACGTTAACATATTTACTGTGATATGATTTCTTTTAAACAATATTAATTATGTCAAAATAATATATGTAGATCAAACTTTTTTCTTGTTAATAGGTTAACGTCCAACTCAAACTATCATCAATTTTTAATGAAAAAGGACAAGTTTGGAACATTTGAATAGTCGAATGACCATTTTGTAACTTTCAATAGTCAAATGTCACAACAAAGCAACGCTCTATAGTTAAAGGAATATTTTGTAACTTTTAATAGTTGATAAACTCAACAAAACATCACCTTATAATCGAGGGACCATATGTGTATTACCCAAATATAAAACTAAATTTTTAATTAAATTAAAATGATTACAAAGTAGTATCTATTCTAAATATTTTTAATCATTTGATAATAAACATTCAATCACCCTGCTGCAGTCGTTGGTATTGAACCCGTGATCTCTAGAAACAACAACAATTCATTTAACTATTAAGATAAGTTGATTCATGTCAAATATAAAATTAATTATGTCAAAATAATACGTACGGATCAAATTTCGTATTTCAACGTAATATAGGCACCGAAATTAAAACTTGACCTCAAGTAAACTGAAAATATTTGTTCATTGAAACGACTTAATACATTAAATCCATGTGCTGGAATCCTATCAACCACCGAGGAAGAAAAATTTTCACTTTAAACGCTCTTTTATTAGGAAAGTTTATGCTTGGTGAAAAGACCAGAAAGGGCAGAGTTTCCTGTCTAATAAACTTAAAACTATATGTAATTAATTAAAAGGACAACACCATTTACGTCCAATACGAACTTGGAAATTCCAACATAAACTGAACAAGTCGAGAAACCCTATCCTTCGTTTTTCTTATCATCCAAACAGACGATTAAGAAAATGGAGGAAAATGGCAGTAGAGCTGAAGCCCTACGCCTTCTAGGGATGGCCGAGAAGCTTCTCCAAAACCGTGATTTCAACGGCTCAAGGGACTTCGCAATCTTAGCCCAAGAGACCGAACCCTTATTGGAAGGTTCGGATCGGATCCTAGCGGTCGCCGACGTCCTCCTAGCCGCCGAGAAAAAAATAAACAACCACCACGAGTGGTACTCTATATTGCAACTGGATCGCCGGTCTGAAGAAAACGATTTCATCAAGAAACAGTATCGTCACCTAGCTCTCCTTCTCCACCCCGACAAAAACAAGTTCCCTTTTGCCGATCACGCGTTTAAGATCGTAGCCGATGCATGGGCCGTTTTATCGAACGCCTCGAAAAAATCTCAATGCGATAAAAATTTTGGATTTTTCACGAGGATTGACTTCAGCAGCTCCGGCGATCCTTCAAATCAGTCAGGGAAATTACCGGTCACCAGAAGAGGACAAAATCATGACGGTATGCAACGGCGGTTGACGGGTTCTACGATCCATAATGAAACTTAGATGCAGAAACCGTCAACATTTTGGACAGCTTGTCCGTACTGTCACAGGTTGTTTGAGTATCCAGGGTTTTACGAAGGTTGTTGTTTAAGGTGTCAGAATTGCGAGAGGTCTTTTCATGCATTTTCGATTCCGACACTACCACCGCTGTGCTGAAAAAAAAATTAGCTAACCCTATTCTCATATGTGATAGAAGTGAGGGAGGTAGGATAGTAGGCTGTCCGAACGTCACGTTGAGAGTAACTTCCGTTGGGGTAAATCTAGTTGGATGCCTTCTATGATTCCCGGAGGCCAGTCGGAGAGTGAAAGAAATGGAGGCAATGTGCCCAGGGTATCAAATAGCGTTTTGAAAACGTTATAGCGGCCGCGATATTGTGGTCGCGTCACCGTTCGAAACCGTTATTCGTGGTTTTTACGGTCTGTCATGGATTCACACCGATTGCGGTCGATGGCGCCCGCAATTAAACGGTAAACGGACGATTGCGTCGATAACGGGACGCAATCGCCGTTATTCCAACTGTTACTGAAAAAAAAATTAAGGAAAGATAGATTTTTTGTGTTCAACGTTACTAAAGCTGTATTTTTTTTTTCTTTCTTTCTAAATTCACGTTTTTTATACATGCATGTTAAGATTCAAAAGGAAAAAGAAAATGGAAAAGTAAAATTGAAGAACGAACATGTTTTGTGGTCTCGTCGGAGTGGAGTTCACTGTAATCGGAGAAAGGAATCTTCGTCGGAACTTAAGATTGTTGAAGAAAAAAAAATCATTCACGCTCTGGATTTAGGGTAGAACATGTTATGGTTTTGGAATTTTTTTGCTTGATTTTGAAATTGAGTGTTGAGAAAAAAAAAATGGCTGTCCCTTGTTTCCATATGTAAGGGGGAGGTAAGATAGTAGACTGCCCCCAACACTAGGTTGAGAACAACTTCCGTAGGAAACCTCCAAATTATGAAATACCCTCCATGGGACTCGATCCCACGACCTCAAGGTTAAGAACCTTGTGCTCTACCAACTGAGCTGGATGGAGGAGAGCATAAAGAAATGAGGAAGAAAGGAGAGACTGGAGAAGGAGAACGTGCGGGGTGGGTGGGGGGAGGGATATAGTTTAGGATTAAAATATTTTAGGGTTATTAGGTTTAAAACAAAACATTTTGCGCCCATGTTTTTAAAGTAAATTATAAAATATATCTTTAAGGAATATATTAATTTTTCATCCTTTCACTTTTTAAAATTTATAATTTAATATATAATTTAGAATGTAAACTTTAATTTTTGTTTAATTTAATCCTAATTTCAGTAATTTAAATAATAATGTGTTCACAATGTTATCATGAATTAATTATCTTATCCTATTATCGGAATTTTAAAATTTTTTATATGGTTAAACTATATTATATATGTCATTTTAGCTTAGAAAACATTCTAAAAATCATTAAAAATGACTCCTTATAATTATAATTATAATTATTATGTTTTATGATAAGTTGTATGAAATTTAAAATAATTCACGACCGCTGCACCCGCAGTGACCGCGATAGCATCCGTTATGTCCGCAACCGCGATAAACGCGACGCGACAGAAAACCCGGCCGCAAACGCTATTTAAATCCCTGAATGTGCCAACTCCAGCGCCGCCGCCACCACCACCACGAGCAGCTGCTGCTCCCGTTAAGAAGGTGGTGCAAAATAGGGACAATGCTCCCAATTCCACCCCAAGGAAGAGAGGGAGGCCAAGGAAGAATCCGATTTGAGGTTTGGGTTGGCAATGATATATAGCTTCGATTTAAAAGAACCTGACCGGATGGCAGGAGTGTTTCCGAGACAAAGACGGATGATTTTGCCGAATGGAGAAGGATAAGGCTGAGGATGAAACTCTGCTATGTTGGAAGGAAATTGTAGGTATTGCTGTAGTTTTGTTTTGTTTTGTTTGTAGATTGTTGATTGTTTTCATGTACTGACTAGCACAGATAATTATGTAACATTATGATATATGCAGCTATCACAATTCAGCGACTTCTTTAGTAGTCTCTGTTGTTGTGGTCGTCATCTTCAAATGTCTTGTAGGAAAAACTTGGTTGGATGCAGTTAACCGATATTGACACAAACCTTTTTCCTGCATTTCCCATGATTTGAATGGCCTAACTGCAAATGAATGCTAATGATGATAGCAGGGGTTGAATATAGGCAAGGAATCCTGTGTGTACAAGTATTGTTTAGTTGACTGATAGAGAGATTGAAGCTCAGATGGAAGATTAAGACTGTAAATTGCGCAGGCTATTCAGCAGTGGGTTAATTTGTGGATGTCTGTGCGTCGGGCGTTGATTTCAGTTTTGGTACTAAATCCCTTGAGCTTTGTTAATCGGATTAACCATTTACATTGCAGTGCTCTTTAGGTTTTGAACTTCTGTTATTTGCTGAAGCTCTTTTTTGTGCCTTGACATAGCAACGAGAGAATGATCCCAGTTCATCGAGACTTTTTCTTTTCCCTGATTCGATTCAAACGAGTCTCTCTTTTTCCTGATTCGATTCAAATGTCAATGGCGTCAAGAATTACCTCGTTTTTTTATATATTATGGTTTATCAATTGAAAATCAAAAATGATTGGTCCTTAACAAAGCACGATGAGCAAGTGAATGTTAAGTGAATGTGCAACAGGGAGTTGTGAATTTTCACATATGGGGAATTTGCAACAGTCGCCCGTGTCTCGTTAAACAATAATCCGATCAACTTGATGTCCTTATCGGATATGTTTAGCTCACTTGGTGATCATACACTTCTAAATTAACCCAATCCCCTCAACTATACAGCATCATATGCTTTGTTAGATCAGAGCCGAGCCGAGCAAGAAATCTCAGCAACACTACCAAAAACTAGTTGAGAAAACTAGAATGTTGGGGAAGACAAGACTTCACATTTGATATAGCTCTATACTTTTCTGTTTGCATCGTTACTACAGTGAAATTATGCGTTAAAATAATCAATTATTAAAGCTAGAGAATTTTTTTTCCTTTTTTATTTTAACAATTTCATGTTGCAGACTGCTTCGTACCGAGTGATACAGTTTATAATTTAATGCTTTATTATTAAAATTTGCCATTTTTATAAATGTTTGTAAATATAATATCCCTAAAAAAATTTAACGAAAATGACACTCATTTTTGCTGAGTAAGATAAAAGTGTTTCTTGTCAAATAGAGCCCACTGCTTAAGGATGATGATTGTGGGTAAAAGGAGACAAATATTGCTGCAAATCATAAAGGGGTGTGCAAATTAAAAAGCTTAATACCTTGAGCTACACCTGTTCAATGATTGTACTATACTCAGGTTTCATAACCTGTATGAGCAGGATATCTGCATATGTACCATAAAAGTTCTATAGAAGACGATATCTAATTGTACTAGATTCTCTAAACAAGCACCGATAATATACAAACCAGATAAATTTCTATAGATGGTAAAACTTGAATCTATGGGGTAGTTCAACAAAACGTATTATATGGTGAAGAAAAATAAGAGTTGCCATCCGCAAGACAACAAATATGAACCATATTGGAGGGGGAGGGAAGGGGGAAGGAGATTTCACCTATCATATTCGAGCAACATATGAATTGGCCTGAGTAACATATCTCACCCATCGATATGGATTATATGAATTAGATTTCTTTGCAATCTGCAAGTATTTCACCTGCAACGTCAGAACAATTATCAACATTAGTAACTGTAACTTAATTAGGATTTAGAAATATTGCTGACACTTGAACCCTTATCCACTGTACTATCAAACCGATTGCGAGTTGGCTTTTACTAATAGCCCACACGTTGTTAACTCGAAATCAACAAAGCATTCAAGATCAAAAGAATAAAGACTAGATATGTGATAGAGCTTTGCAACAGAGTTATGATCACTGGTAAAAGTAGCCAAATTAATGAAGATCCTTTAAATACCCATCAAGAAGACAGGTGCTGATCAGACTAAAACTGTAGAAAATATTTCTAAACCAGAAGTTGCAGAAGTGGTATTGGCAATCAGATTTCACAGAATAAACATAATATAAAACGAAATAACAACCGCCAATTCCAAATTAGAGCCTGTGTCTTCATTCTAAGCCTCTTCCATCCCAGACTTTATCATAGATCTCATTAAAACTTAGGCTTTGATTAGCTAGAAAAATCCTAAAGGAAATAGCGGAAGATAGTATTATTACCTTAAGCCTCGAAGCATTATACATTGGTATTGTGAACGTCATGCTAACTGGTCCGGCTTCCTTTGTGATATTTCCTGAATTAAGCCATAATTATTTCATCAATGAGAAATAAGTTTAGAACATTCACAAATGAAATTATCACATTGAGAGAATTTAAAAAAAAAAAATCAAAATAGAACTTTGGTTGATGCATACCATGTGATTCCTGGGAAAAGGTCAGCTTTGCACGCAATGTATGTTCAAATCCACCTACAATCTGTCAAAATTACAAAATGATTACATAAAAAGGAAATATGATACCATATAGTTGAAGCATTTGATCCTTAAACCTTCTTCAAAGGACCTTCAAAACATATTTACCTTTTTTAAATCCCATTCAAGTTTCTTGTTTGCTTCTTTGAAATCTGTTCTTTGACCAGTAGCTCCAGGTTCCAACTCAAAAGTAGCTCTATAAATACCATGTACAAAACATATAATCCACAGAAATATATACATAAAAATATATCCCACCAAAAACATTAGTGACAAAGGAAGAGAGAAAATACCTGGTAGTGTATTTAGGAAGAGGCATCTCTACAACAACTGTGTTTGCAGTAATGTTTGAGGGGAACTCTGCGCTTATTTTAAGAACCACTTCAGCCTAAAATGTCAATAGCAAAGCAAAAATAACTGGATCAGGAATAAATCCCTCTACTGTAGAACTAAATGAATTATTTATAAATGAAATAAGTTCATTTAACTTATCATCATTAGGGAGACATTACATGATTATGGAATAATTGGGAAAAAAAGCATATAATAAAACCATCACAACGTAAGGTCAAAACAGACCAGCTCACCTTAAGGTGTCCCGCTTCTTCAATTAAACAATTAATACGAAAAGGAGGCTTGAATTCCTGTGTCATTCGGTAGTTCATGACAGGAAATTCACCATCTGGTGGTACCTAAAAGACAATAGTAAAATGAAACATGAGCCCGAATGATGCCAAGATATTTAACAGTCTCTTCAATCTCTCCACAAATTTCAAGCTGTTATATTCTTAATTTCACTCACCAAATCCAGAGTCCTGTCCATATCGAAACTATCAAGACGCACTGATTCATGA